TAATAGAACGAGAGAGAAAGAGTTAATATTTTTTTACAGTGCAGAATAGTAAATTATACCATTAAGTGTAAATTAATCATTTATATCTGTGTCAGTACTTTTAGCTGAACATTTTGAAAACATCAGCACAGTCATCAGAACAGTCACCATCGGGTTACTTGTCCTGATGTGTCTCCTCTTCATTATACGTGAGTATTCGCCCATTATGGAGCATTATCCACAAGATGAGGATATCTTGTTTTAATGCATTGTTGAAGACACAACATTCATAGACTTTGTTTTTTCATGCAGCATTTTGATAGAGGAAAGTTGTTTTAACTCACAATTAATCTCAGTACAATCTTGTGCGATTTGCATATTTCACCTTTTTGAAATCATTTTACCATAATTTACACAACCTCTTCATTCACATTGTTCTTGATGATTTATGACCATAGAAGGTTATTTAACATTTGTTCAAAACTGACATTCAAACAATGCTTCTTTAGGACATTTATTGTATACATCTTAGATATGAGTGTGAAAGATATTTGTTTTAGATTTGTTATGTGTTGATATTGCATTCACACACATTTTTTTTCCATTTTTTTTATAGAATTGGCTGAAGAGAAGTTGCTGTCATGCTCTGGAGAGTTAAGCAAAAGGATGTACAGAAAAGTTAGACACTTTGTAGCTATTTGTAGCTTTTCATGGCTGCCTTCATTACAGCTTTCCCTTCTGCTTTACTCTCATTTTGCCTCCGATAAAGGTAAGCAAGAACATTTTAAAACTTGAGCAGATACTGAATGAGAATGAACTAATCATATGCTTGAGGAACAGTCAGTTCTGTCTGCTTCTTACACAGCATAAATAAAAGTGAAAGAAGAAGCCGGTCATGTATTTATTGTGACAATTTATTTCTTTACTCTAACTGCCTCTCTTTTTTTTTGTTTTAAAGTGTTTATCATTACAGCTCTTCCAGTACTTCATTGGTTGCCTTATTTCTTTTGGCATAAAAATAAATGCTGTAAGTATGAGAAATTATATTTTGCTCTATTATGACTGGAGAAATTAATCAGTAGATGGGTATGCAATAAAAGTTTAAATATATGCATATCACATTTATTGTACTTTTTTTCAAATAATGTTGAATGCACACCTAAATGTGTCAGAGCTAGTTCTGTCTCTTTGTGACACAATGACTTGTGTTTCTCAAGTGGTGGTCCTTAATAAATATCAGTTTCCGTCTATATCAGCTGTTTCACAAGTCACAGTTTCACTCAGTTAGTAACTATTTTTATTCTTGAGCATGTTTTCACTGTTTATTTTGTCTTTTCAGGTCTACGTTGTCTATACTATTTAATATGGTTCATGATGATTGTGATGAGTGGAGTAATGGTGTATTTTTACATTATGCTCTTGAGAAATGAAAAAGGTATGAATATATTTCTAAGATATTAAAAAGTTTCAACCATTTTTTTTTTTTTTTATACAAATGTAAGTGTACATCTGTTCATTTTTAACATTGGTGTGTTGAATGTAAAATAGAACGAGAGAGAAATAATTATGGGCAATAAATAAGACTAAAGACTCCTTTTATTTACAGATGATGAAGGACTGGTCTGTGTGGCAGGATTTGTTCAAGCCTTGTGGGTGCTTGCATTTTCTGAAGTTCCTGTCTATTATGAGAGTAAAGTACCGATCAGCTTCTTTCTCGTTCATGTGTTTTTTTTTTCAGTCCTTCTGTTTCATTCTCATCCACAAAGTTTAAAGGGGTCATATGATGCTGCTAATTGGAAGACCAAACAAAGTAGTTTCGCTTTCACAACGAAGCACACAGCGTCTTCAGGACATGGCTGCAGCGTCAACAATACTACAGCGAGAATAAAAGTCATGCCTTCTTTCTTTGCTTGAACATTTGGGCGGCGTTATGCAAATCTTCCCACACAGTGAGGTAGGTATGTGGGGGCGTGTTAGAACGAGCCGTTTTAGGTAGGTGTGGCTGACTCTTAACTTTTATAAAGAATATCTCTTTGGATTTGAGACTTTAGTCTTTGCAACTTTACAGATCGTCTTTATGCACCAAGAGCTTGTAACACTTCGAAGAGAAAGGAAAAATTGAAATCGCATCATATGACCCCTTTAAGGTCTGGATAAGTGTTGTGATTCTGCCGGGGATTATTATACTGCAGCCAATCAGAAAACTATCGCTGTGTCTAAAATCATTAATTCCTTCACTCATTCACAATTCCTTAATGAACTAACAAAATGTTTAACTCTGCCCTACAGAGCTCAGCCAGAGGAAAATTGTGTTCCTGTATGGATCAGCTGGTCTTGTTTTAGTGAACTCGGCTGCACTGATGACAGAACTGATAATGAAAGCAGGTGAGTGAACACAACATTTTAATGAGATTCCTAAGGCCATGTAAGATCAAAACATACTGTTTGCTTAAAATAAATCTCCTTCCACAGTTTGTGGTGTACGCCTGGTGGGAGATTTGAGAGTCATTGTCTTTCCATCTGAGTGGCTTTTCACTGTATCACTGCTGATTTTATCCATTTTTGCATCCCGTGAGTAATGAAATGAAATGGATTTTCTCACTATGCGTGAATCATCCATAATGCTATCTTTTGTGTTTGCCTCATTTGTGCATTAACTGAGGCTGATTAATTTACACTGATCCTCAAATCTTTACCTCTCTCACGTCTCAGGCAAAACTGTCAACAGAGAGTCTTCTCAGGTATAGTTTTATGATGAATTTGGTTAATTAATACAATAACTTTAAATATACTTGCATTTAAAGTGGACAAAGTAAAACAATAGGAAGATGTCAAATAGATGTTTAAAATGCATTTGTCTTCTTATTGCAGATGGCGACAGATTATAATGGGACTCCTGGTACAAAGCATACCAGTATAGATATGAACCAGACGACTGGAGAATCCCATGAAATGGAAACTCTGAGAAAAGTAGCTGGGAACAGTGAGGAGCATCAAGAAGAGGAGATCAACTAACAGTAAAGTGAACTGCACTTTCTAAAAGATCTGACATGGTATGAAACATTTCTGAGGGTAAGACTTTCGAACATGCCATTTTTTTTGTCTGCATAACTTTTAGCAGCAGAGACTGGTGCACATCGTCATGGTTCGGGCTGAATTATTTTTTTTATATTTGCGATGTTGTGCCATTGATATTGTGGTATGTTGTTTGTGGTCGCCAAACTATACTGAATTCTACTTTGAAGTGACTCAAAAATTGTTTATATACTCTCAAACGTTTGTATTTGTATGCATTTAAATATTTTACATGTAATATGTATGTAAAAAAAATATGTACTTTCTCATCTTTGTTCTTATGTTATTGCTGACTTTTCTTTAAGAGTGCTTAGAGCACTTACAACAGTATTTACTAAAGCATTATTTTTTTCTCTGCAGTACCAGAATGGGTATTGGTTAATGTTAAATTTTACTGTAACTGTATTGTGACTCTCTTTCAAGGGTAGGTGTATGTTTCTGGCTAGAGTAAGCTGCAAAGTGGATCCAGAGTTGAATGTATAACATAATATGCTCTTCTGTTGCTTTTTTTCCACTGACATTTTCTGTGAAACATGTTCTACCTTTTCATTCTCTGTGAGATGTTTGTTTATGCACATTGACTTCTGAGATGGTGTTACTGTATATATGACAAGAAAGATTAATGATATTCTGCCTTTGATACATTTGTGTAAGATATCATCTTAAATGTAAGAAGACTTTTGTTATAGAGGATATTTTTATATTATTATTCAGGAGTATTTTGAAATGTATTATTTATTATCATAATATTTTCGAATTTATTATTAATATTTTTGTACCAAGTTCAAGCACACGATCTCGTGGTATTAAAATAAATCGAGGTGAAGTTTCAAATATATTGTTTTAATAAATGCATTTTTTATGCATGTGTTCTTCTTATGAGCTGGTTATGGCTGCGCGCCCCCAAGCGGCAGGCCTGATTGTTTTGAACATTTTTCTTTTTTTAACGTAATGGAGACGTAATGGAGAGCGACGCTTTGCTTATTAATATTAATTTGGTCATACAAAAGTTGCTTCTCAACCTTTCTATGGGGTCCAGGATAACGCAATGAATATTTAAAATAGAACCAGACCTCTTCAGCCAATCAGTTACGTCAACCGAGAAGACGTCACATTGCGTAATTAATATTCATAAGAGCAGACGGCTAACGTAGATTCGTTTACGGGGACTGCAGGAAAAGAGCGAGGATTAGATATGTGAAAAACTGTCCAATGTAATAGTGGACCAGTCTCTGAAGGACCAGATCTTCAGTAGGGAGGCTGGACGCATCTGTTACACGATTGTCCAGGTAAACAAATGCACCACGTGCAAGTTTTTATACAGTTAAAACACTTAAGTTTGAATGTTGCATTCTCTTCAATGTATAAAAATGCTCACATTTGTCTTGTAGTTTATTAGGACTGAGTTGTAATCGGTTGACTCATTTGATTCAGGCTGAGGCCAAACAGACCAACGGGAACGTGTTTCGGCGTAACCTTCTGAACCGACTGCAGCAGGAATTTAAAGCCAGAGAAGAGACACGGAAGAGATCCACTCAGGAGTGGGTTTGCCTTGTGTCCTTCATCTGCAACATCTTTGACTACCTCAAGGTGAACAGTTGCCTTCTGTTTTAAAACTTAAAGGAATAGTTTACCCAAAAATTTGCTTAAAATTTACACACCCTTAGGCTATCCAAGATGTACATGAGTTTGTTTCTTCATCAGAACAGATTTGGAGAAATGTAGCATTGCATCACTTGCTCAGCAATGGATGCTCTGCAGTGAATGGGAGCCGTCAGAGTCAGAGTCCAAACAGCTGATAAAAACATCACAATAATCCACAAGTAATCCACACCACTCCAGTCCATCAACTAACATCTAGTGAAGCGAAAAGCTGCATGTTTGTAAGAAATAAATCCATAATTAAGACGTTTCTAACTTGAAAATGTTATTTACATAATCCATAAAATTGCTTAGTGTTCTTGTCTGAAAGCCAAAACAAGTCCACTGATGATCAAGTGATGTAAATTTCTCCAAATCTGTTCCGATAAAGAAACAGTCTCATCTACTGTACATCTTGGAAGGCTTGAGGGTGAGTGAATTTTCAATCATTTTTCATTTCTGGGTGAACTATTCATTTCAGAATCACAATTAGGAAGGTACTCATGGTAACTATACTAGTAAAAAAAATGCATATGCAAATTTATTTTAAGTGCTTAATTTTTAACTTTGTTCTGTTTGCTGCAGGTGAACAACATGCCCATGATGGCCCTGGTGCACCCCGTCTATGACTGTTTGTTCAGATTGGCCCAATCTGATGCCCTGAAGAATGAGGAGGAGGTGAATCTTGAACATTATTACTGGTTGATGATTGAACTGGATAGACTAATAGAGTGAATAAATTAGTAATGCATCAAAAAATGGAGGGTCAGAATCATTAACCACAACTTTTTGACTTTTGCCATCTCTGTCTCAGGTGGACTGTCTGGTGTTACAGTTGCATCGTATTGGAGATCAGCTGGAGAAGATGAACCTGCAGCTCATGGATGAGCTGTTCAATCTGCTGAGGGATGGATTTCTCCTGCAGGAGGACCTGAGCTCCATGGGCCACCTGCTCCTGCTGGAGATCCTTGAGTTTCGCGCAGGAGGCTGGACTCTCAGCGAAACGGCTCAGAAATACTACTACAGCGAAGTGACGGACTGAGGCTTCATCAATCAGAGAAACAAGAAGGCAGGATGAAATAGCAATCCGTAGGAGCCAAGTGTGGAGGTTTTATTTTTATATTTACCTTTGATGAAGGCTTGGTGATTCACTAGGTATGAGGTTTGACATGAAGTAGAAGATTGGATTGTGACTTTTTGAAGTCGACTTGAAGTGACATGAAGTTCATCATATTTACTTTAATACACATTCCTGGTTTCATTTGATTTAGGTCTTATATTAGTGTCAAGGGCTGTAATCAGAACACTAGAGACGATTAGATGGTTTTATTTAATAGAGATGGATATATTTAATAAATTGTTACTTGTTTTATTTTCTTAAATTGACTAGCAAGTTATATTTGCCTCGGTAGAAAGAACAGCTATTTCTATTGTATAGAAATAATTACTTTATATATTTGTTCTATAATACATCTTATACAATGTAAATCTATTAGAAAATCTATGTTTTTAATGAACCAAAAACAGTTTGTAAGAGTCACATTTAAATATAAGGTTTCCTTAAGGCTAATATTTTTATACTATGAAAAGAAGAGTGGCTGTATATCCAACAAAACTTCTACAGGTGCTGGATGAAGAGAGTGTCACAAGCTTGCATAAATTTGCACAGCTACGATAATATTTTGTATCATTTCAATCTGATGAAGATCCACTGGACTGAAATGTTAACATGAGGTGATATGCCAAAATGTTGTATTTGAAAGTAAAAATTAAGCTCCTGTGCAGCTGTTTTGGCCTCACTGATTCCTCAGGCTCTTGCAGAGCAGACAGTGACTTGTATAGTTGTCTTGATGCCACAAGTTTCAAATAAAGAAACAATTATTTTAGATTACAATTGAAATCTAAAAAAAAATATGTAAAGATATGTTGTAGATTTTTGTAACACTGTTCAACTCTTGTAAAACAAACAAAAAAAACCTTGTCAAAAATAGAAATGTGACTTTTTATAGCTTTATTTACTTTCACACAAAGACAAACTTTATTTATGAGTCAAGATAACAGACTTTCTCATGTCCTTTTTTGTGATGCCCATCCATCCCAAACTCCTGATGCTGTCAGTCCAAAACAAATCACGTCTGTGGGTGAACTAGGAGTCCAAACGTCCTCTCTCTACCACCAGCGGTAGTGTGCATATGCCCTGTTGGCTTCGGCCATCTTGTGAAGGTCGTGTTTGCGTTTCACTACATTTCCTTCGTTAGCGAAGGCGGCCAGCAGCTCCTGCGAGAGTTTCTCGTACATGTGTGTGCGACGGTGCTTGTTGTCTCTGCATTCTGTGATAATCCATTTCATGGCCAGAAAACGCCGCCGATTATCCGTGAGAGGGACGGGCACCTGCAGGACCAATAATTCAGAGTAAGATTCAATAATTGATCTACTTTATAGAGCTTTGATGTCATTCCTCTTGCTTGACCATACTGTTCTTTGCATGGGAAAGATCTGATTTTGAAAACTACTTTTGTTTTACAGAAGAAAGTCATACAGGTTTGAAACAACATGGTGTTTATGATGATAATGTTTATGGTGATGGTGATAAATGATGATCATTTTCACTTTTTGAATGAATTATCCCTATAAACACAACTCTGGATAAAAGGATACCATTTTATAAAATGTTAAACATAAATATTGTACAAAATATGTGTACATTTACTTAAAAAATTATCATATTGACTTTGTCATTTCTCTTAAGATATTTCTATCAGTGTTGGCCGTTTGCAAACCCATTGATTGAACTCTGATTCTAAGTTGCATATCCACAAACATCTTACTAGATTATCTCAGAGTTGTGAAATTAATATTAAATGTTGTTCACTGACCTGATAAGATTTGCCTCCTTTCTGAACACTGGCCAGGCCAATGATGGGTTTGCAGTTCTCTAGGGCCTGATGGAAGACGGTGTATGGATTACACTCGATCTCTTCTCTCTTAGCTGCTGGAGATTTGTGGTATTTCTCCACCTGTTTTCTCTTTATGGTCTCCAGCGTCTAAACCGACATAAAACATCCAAGCAGAAACTCATAAGAACAATTTTGTAATATGTTTGAAAGATATCTCTTAGGCTCACAAGACTGGGTTTATTTTATTTTTTACGTTTTTAAATACACGTAAAAACAGGAATATCGCGACATTATAACAATTTATAATATCTTTTTTTTTATTGTCAGATATTGTAAAATGTAATTTATTCCTGTGACGCAAAGCTGAATTTTCATAATTATTACTCCAGTGTCACATGATCCTTCAGAAATCATTCTAATTGCTGATTTGCTCAAGTATTAATTATTATTGTACTCAATTATCACTAATGGTTCATATTATTATTATTATTATTATTATTAGTGTTATTAGTGTTTTGCTGGTTTAAAATGTATCATACATAAATATTTTCAGAGTTTTTGGATGAATAGAAAGCATTTATTTGAAACTGAAATCTTTCGTAACATTATAACATTTTTTGTTTTTGTTGTTTTGTTTTTAAATGACTTACCCCAAACTTTTGAACAGTAACGTATCACAGTTTCCACAAAAAATATGAAGCCGCACAACTGTTTTCAACATTGATAAGACATGTTTCTTGAGCAGCAAATCAGCATTTTAAAAAGATATCTGAAGGATCATGTGACACTGAAGCTGATTATACAACTTTACTGTCAAAGGAATACATGAGTATTTTAAATGTATTTAAACAGAAAAGTTGTTTTAAATGGTCATAATACTAAACAATGTTACAGTTTTTACTGCATCATTGGTCAAATAAATGCAGCCCTGATGAGCAGAAAAGACTTGTTTATTTTAAGAATCATATGCTTTTTTGTTTGTTTAGATAAATCGTTCAAAAGGGTTTGACCAAACTGTTAAACTAGATTATTTACAAATCATCCAAACACCCGATTCATTTCTAATATTATGACTAAGTAGTATTAAATTGTAAAGAAATTACAGATCCATCATTGAAATTTGATTGGTTGATAACTTTTGACAGCGTTTAATTCAGGTGCGAAAAGAATGAATATCTATAGCGCATGAGCACAGAGAGATTTGAGAGTGCACAGGACTCATTGTATCAATAATGCGCTCACGACATTTGTCAGTAAAATAAGGCCATAGGGTCACCCTATGATATAATGATAGCTTTGTCTAATTTTAATACATGATGGACATTCTTATCCGTATTTTAATGTCACTACTTATTATGATGGTCGCTGATGGTAAGTATTATCACTTTTCAGTTTATACGCGATTTTTAACACATGAATCAATTTGTCTGTTTCTTGATAGGGTTCACTGTGCACGGTCCCTCTGGTCCTCTGGTTGCTCCTCTGGGGTCTTCAGTGGTTTTGCCCAGTTATGTTGATGAACTCTTACTAATGGAGGATCTGGAGATGTCAACATATTCTGTTACACCAAATACACAAAATAATGATCTTTAAAATAGCATCATATGACCCCTTTAAAAACGAATTATTCCAAACGACCACTAGTGTGTATATAATGGGATTTGATAAAAACCTGTCATGATTCCTCTAGCAAGGATTTTGTTGCCATCTTGCATCATCATGTTGATGAACTTGCTGTTGAAGTAAAATAGATAATCAGTGCTATGAAAGATCCATATACAGTGGGGTCCAAAATATTGGGACCACGGGTGAAAATATATATATATATATATATATATATATATATTAAATTACAGCAAAGTTCAAACAATATTATAAGCATAATATAAGTGAACAATCTACATTAGTTTTAGTTAAATTATTTTGAATTCTAAATTTTCAACGTGGCTTTTGGACCCCACTGTATTTCTATTCAGGTCATGGAGCTATAACAACGTTTCCTGCAGTTGGCTGAGCTCTTTTTGTTTTTACCTGATCAGAGGGTCTTTGAAAGCAGAGCTGGTGTCGCTTGCCAGCGCTGCTTTTATCGGTCTCACTGTTTTCAGTTCCTGCAGCTCTTTATCTTCAGGACTGAGCTCTGATTCTGGGACACGAGCATCTTTACTGGGATCGGGATCCAGATAGTATGGATTATACCGACTCCACCTCACCAAACACAGACTGAGAGAAAGATGCAGAGTAACTTAGTAGACAAACGTTATCAAATATGCTTGTTACACAGAGAAATCAGAACAAGCCGAGGCGTGAATTTAGAAACACATTTAAGCACATGGTTCAGTTTGCGATGAACAGCGTGGAATCAGCGATAAATCATACAAATTATGAATTACACAGCAAAGCTGATGAGATCTAGACCTCATTTCGGACATTCCTGGCAAAGATAAGAAAACTAGTAAAATGTACCTCGGTGTCCAAGGTTTCAGTAAATATCTGACGGAGGCTGCCATCTTAAGGGCGGTCTAATAGGTTTGTCTCAGATCAGCTTGGGTGACCAAACCCTTATATTCACTATTAGAGGGGAAACACAAACGCAGACCTCAGATCAGCGGTTAAACCATAGACTGTAAAAAAAAAATTTAAACTCACTCTGACGCGACCGTGAAAGGACCTCAGATGAAGAATGCGTCCTAAAATATTGCCCGAGTATAATAATACAACTAAATATTTTTATTAATTTAAAAAAATGTTAATGTCTTGCATTTTACATTTGTAGTAGCTATAAAATAGTTTTTGCTCAGTGTCTAAGTAATAGTTATTTACACTAAAAAGAAGTCAGGCAGTAGGTGAATTTCCTGTATGGCTGTAAACGTAGGGCTGGGAATCGATTCCAAAAAGAATCGATTCCTCGATTCCGAGGCGTTGGGAATTGAGAGTCGATTCCAAACGTTGGAATCGATTCCATCAAGAGGAATCGACTCCTCATTCAGAGCCTTTTTCAGTTCAACAAAGCTTATCTATGGGTGCCTCTCAAACGGAATGCTACGAATGCTGCACACATTTAAATTCACGAAAATAAACTGAAAGAAAACGAGTCCGTACTGAAATCATCTGAATTTTAGGATGCAGCCTTCCGTTTGAGAAGCACCATTCACCTCCCTCATGCTCGCTAAAAGTGATTAGAATTCTGATTAGTTTCCTAAATCGGATAGATAGTTTTAATGAACCAGTTCAAAAAACCGATTCAGAGGTTATTTTACGGTGGACCTGGCTTGTCCACAATTTTGAGCGCTGATCTTATTTCCATCTAAAATACTTTTTTTTTTTTTTTAAACATTTCTATCAGCCAGTGATAATGATAAAAGAAACGTCCCGAGCATAGATCAGTGGCTGATCGAGCGCATCTGATGGACAGATAAACCACGAGCTCTATCAGTTATTGTTAATGTTCTGGTTATTTTGTTTCAGTGTACAGTTAGTTAATTTTGTGCAAAGTAAACTTCATCATTCAACTGAACTGTGCACATTTATTTTAGACACTTCATGTCTTGTTCAATTCACGCGATAAACGCATGTCCCTGCTGAGCTGTGGGCTATGACTAATGTCACGGGCAAAGCAACTCGATTCCAAAAATTTCGGAATCGAACAGCCCTATGTAAACGTGTTTGTAGATATGTCTACAAATATTTGTAACGTTACTGCCCCCCAGCGTACCGTCCCGTCCCGTCCCGTATTGAACCATGAGAAATCTGGTCACTATGGCGTTATTTGATTGATACAATGCGCGAGCACGAATCTCTCCGCTCTCGCACAAAACCGGACGCGCGCGCTCAGATACACGCTGCTCTCGCCCGGAGAGTGCGCGCACGTAAAACGTCTCTCCTCTCGCTCAAACTGTGTCCTCTATATCTCTTTTATGTTTGTATTTTGATCTTTTCTGCGAATCTGTAAAGTATAGGCTACTTTGTAAACACTGTTTTAAAAGGTACTATATAAATAAAGCTTTAACCAATCATACCTCCACAACTGACCGATGAAAATACTACATATTATAGCCTATGGCCCTAAAGACTTTATATAAA